TTAAAGCATGCACTCTAATTTAGATCCGTTTCTTATCCAATGTGACTCTAAATGACGCTAGTTTTGTGCTTTTGCTAAGTTACGACCATGTCATCTTGGAAGAGAGTATCATGAAAGCCCAAAGTAAATTTCAACGACCTAGGCCTAAGACTAGCAATGTAACTTTATTAATGATCCTGTCCTTTTCAGAATAGTCACATAATCAGGCAGGATCAAATAATCGTATTAGAGTAGGGTTTCGAGACTACCAGTAAATCAGTGTAATGAGATGTATTCACCCTATTTCGTGTAAGTTGATGAAGGACTGGTAGTAGAATTGTCCCACAATGATATGAGTTTAGCTGACTTTTCCATTGAATTTTCACATTAAGGGAATGGTAGTAGAATTTTCCCACAATGATATGAGTTAAGCTGACTTTTTCCATTGAATTTCACATAGCCTTGCAAGTAGAATTTTCCCACAATGATATGAGTTGAGCTGACGTTTCCATTGAATTTCATATAGTATTGCTTTCCCAACGAATTTTCCCACAATCATATGAGTTGAGCTGACGTTTCCATTGAATTTCACAAAAAGAATATGATATAGCAGATATGAGTTTAGCTGACTTTTCCATTGAATTTCACATAGCCTTGCTTTCCCAAAGATTTTCCCACAATGATATGAGTTGAGCTGACGTTTCCATTGAATTTCACATAGCCTTGCTTTCCCAAAAACATAATGATATGAGTTTAGCTGACTTTTCCATTGAATCTCACATAGCCTTTCTTTCCCAAAAGTTGTTCTAATGCTTATCAGTGTGATGAGATGTATTCACCCTATTTCGTGTAAGGTGATGAAGGACTGGTAGTAGAATTTTCCCACAATGATATGAATTAGAGCTGACGTTTCCATTCAATTTCAAATTGCCTTGCTTTCCCAACACCCTGGATGAGAACACCTTTTGGGTGCTGACTTTTCCATTGAATTTCACATAGCCTTGCTTTCCCAAAAGTTGTTCTCATCCTGGGTGGACTGCGCGTTTTCCATTGAATTTCACATAGCCTTGCTTTCCCAAAAGTTGTTCTAATCCTGGGTGGACTGCAGTTTCCTTCCATTGAATTTCACATAGCCTTGCTTTCCCAAAAGTTGTTCTCATTCAGGCACCAGTGGACTGCAGGTCTCCATTGAATTTCACATAGCCTTGCTTTCCCAAAAGTTGTTCTCATCCCGGCTTGAGTGGACTGCAGTACCATTGAATTTTCACATAGCTTTACTTTCCCAAAAGTTGTTCTCATCCTGGGTGGACTGCAGTTTCGACCTCGCATTGGTTCCCACCAAAAGAATATGATATAGTAGAGGCCTGATCCTCCTTGAAACTCACTTATGCCCTGTGACTCAAGGGTACTCGTGGCAGTGTAGCCGAG